GTGGGTGTGTTTGTTAGGTGTGTAGGTAGGGTGTTGGAGGTGGGGGGTGGGGGTCTGGGTGGGGGGTTTTGTAAAGTGTCTCTCTGGGGGTGGGGGGGGGGGTTGGGGTTGGTGGCGAGGGGGTGGGAGGGGGTTGTTGGGGGTGGGTTGGGGGGCTGGGGGGGGGCGGTGTAGGGGGGGGGGGGGGGTTTGGTGGGAGTGGGGTTGGGGGGGGGGAGGGGGGGGGGTTGGTGTGGTGGATTAGGGGGAGTGGGGTTTGGTGGTATTGGTGGGGGGGATGGGGGGGGGGGGGTGTGGGGGGGGGGTGTTGGTGGTAGGGTGGGGAGGGGTGGTTGTAGGGTATTGGGGGTGGGGGGGGGTGGGGGGGGTGGGGGGGGTGGTGGGGTTTGTGGGGGGAGATGGGGGTTGGTGGGGGGGGGTGGGGTGGGGGTGTTGGGAGTGGTTGTGGTTGGGGGGTATGGGGGTGGGGTGGGGGGGGTGGTGGGGTTTTGGGGTGGTGTGGTAGGTTGCTTGATTGGGGGGGGGGGGGGGGTGGGGGGTTCGGTGTTCGGGGTTATGTGGTTTTGGACGGATAAGGGTGGTGGGGGTGGTTGGGGGGGGGGGGGGAGTGGTGGTTAGGGGGGGGGGGGGGGGTTTGTGGGATGGAGGGGTGGGGGGGTTAGGGTGTGTGGGTGGGGGGGGGGGTGGGGGGGGGGGTGGGGGGTGTGGGGGGGGGGGGTGGGTGGGGGTTGTGGTGGTGGGTGGGAGTTGTTTGGGGTGGGGGGAGGGGGGTGGGGGGGTGGTGGGGGGGGAGGGGTGGTGGTGGGGTTCTTTGGGTTGGGGGGTTTTATTTGATGGGGGGGGGAGGGGGTTATTGGGGTGATGGGTTTGGGGTTGTGTGGGGGGGGTGTACGTCGGTGGTGTGGGTTGGTTGGGGCGGTGTTGGTTGGGGTGGGGGGTGGGGGGGGGGGGTGGGGGGGTTGTATTGGGGGGGGGGTGGGGTGTGGGGGGTGGGGTGGGGGGGTGGGTGGTCGGTGACGGGGGCAGGGGTGTGGGGTGCTTGTGGTGGGTGTTGATGGGGGGGTGTATGGGGGTGAGTGGTGGGGGTTGTGGTTTTTATGTGGGGGGGGGGGGGGGGTGGGATGTGGTGGTGGGGGGTTTGGGGTGGTGTGGGGGGGGGCGGGTTTGGGGGGTGTGGGGGTGATTGGTGTGTGTGGGTGGGGGTGGAGTGTGGGGGGGGGGTGGGTTGGGGTGGGTAGGGGGGGGGGTTGTGGGGGTGGTGTGGTGGGGGGGGTTGGGGGTGGGGATTGGGGATTGGGGGGTTGGGGTGGGTAATGGTAGTGGGGGTGGGGGTGGGGGGTGGGGTTGGGGTGGGGGGGGGGTGGGGGGGGTGGGGTTTGGGGGTGGGGGGTGTTGGGGGGGGCTGTGGGTTGGTGGGTGGGGGGTCGGGGGGGGGGGTGAGGGGGGTGTGGTGTTGTGGGGTTGGGTGGGGGGGGGGGGGTGGGGGGGGGGGGGTGCACGCGTGGGTGGGGGTGGGGGGTTGGGGGGTGAGGGGGGTGGGATTTGTGGGGGGGGTGGGGTGGGGGTGGATGGTGGTGGGGGGATGTATGGGGCGTGGGGGGTGCGGGTGGGTTGGGGGGGGGGGGGAGTGGGGGTGGGGGTTGGGGGCGGGGGGGGTTTGGGGTGGGGGGGGGGGGGGGGGGGGGTGGGCGGGGTGGGGGGGTTGGGGGGTTGAGGTTGTTGGTGGTATGGGGGGTTGTGAGGTGGGGTGGGGGGGGGTGTGGGGGTGGGGGGGTGTGGGTGGGGGGGGGGGGGGGGGGGGGGGCGGTGGGGTGTGGGTGGATGGGGTGGGGGTGGGGGTGGGGTGGGGGGGAGGCGGGGGTGTGGGGTGGTGTGTGGGGGGGTCGGTGGGGGGGGGTGTATTGGGGTGGTTGGGGGGTGGGGGTGGGTTGGGGGGGGGGGGGGGAGTCGGGGGGGGGAGGGGGGGGGGGTGGGGGTGGTGTGGGGGGTGGGGCGGGGTGGGTGTGTTGGGGGGTGGTGGGTGGTGGGGGGGTGGGGGGGTGGGGGGGGGGGGGGTGTGGGGGGTGGGTGGGGTGGGTGGGGGGTTGTGTGGGGGTGGGTGGGGGTGGGGGGGGGGGGGTGTGGGGGGGTGGGGGGTGGTGGGGGGGGTAGTGGGTGGGGGGTTCGGTTGTGGGTGTAGTGGATGTCTTGGGGGGGGGGGTGGGGGGGGGTGGGTGGGGTCGGGTGTGTTGTGGGGGGGGGGGTAATGGTGGGTGGGTATGTGTGTGGGTGGGTAGGTGGGGGGGGGGGGTGGGGGGGGGGGGGTGTGGAGGGGGGTTGGGGGTGTTGGGGGGGGGGTGTTGGTTTGTGGGGGGGGTGGGGGGTTTGGGGGGGTTGTTGGTGTGGGGGGGTGGGGTTGTGGTTCTGGGGGGGGGTGGGCGGGGGGGGGGGGGTGTGGGGGGGGTGGGGTGGGGTTGGGGGTTGGTGGGGTGGCTCGGGGTGGGGGTGGTGGGGTGGGGTTGGGTGGGGGTGGGGTCGTGGGGGGGGGGGGTGGAGGGGGGGTGGGGTGGGGGGGTGGGTGGTGGGGGGGGTGGTTGGGGGGGGGTGGGGAGCGGGGGTGGGGGGGGGGGTAGGAACTTTGGTGTTGGGGGGGGGGGGTTGGTGGTTGGTAGGGGGGGAGGGGTGGTTGTGGGGGGGTGGTGGGGGGGGGGTGTTGGGGGGGGTGGGGGGTGGTGGTGGGTGGTGTGGTGGGGGGGGGTGGGGGTTGGGGGTTGTTTGGTGGTGGGGGGGTGAGGGTGGGTGAGGGTCGTGGGGGGGGGGGGGGGGGGGGGGGGGGGGGGGGTGGGGTTGGGGGGTGTGGGGGTTTGGGGTTGTGTGGGGGGGGGCGGGTGGTGGGGGGGGGGGGTGTAGTGGGGGGGGGTTGGGGTGGGGGGGGGGGGTTTGGGTTGTGGGGGTGGGGTGTTGGGGGGGGGGTGATGGGTGGGGGAGGAGGGGGGGGAGTGGGGGTGGGGCGGTGGGGGGGGGGGGGGGGGGGGTGGGGGTGGGTTCTTGGGTGGGGGGGGGGGGGGGGTTGGGGGGAGGGGGGGTGGGGGGTGGGTGGTTTGTGGGGGGGTGGGGTGTGGGGGGTGGGGGGTTTGTGGGGTGGGGTAGGGTGGGGGGTTGGGTGGGGGGGTGGGGTGTTGGGGTTGGCGAGGGTGGGTTGAAGGGAGTGGAGTGGGGGGTAGGGGGTGTTGGGGGGTCGTGGGGTTGGGGGTAGGGGTGGGGTGGGGGGGGTGGGTGTGGGGGGGTCGGTGGGGGTGTTGGGGGTATGGGGGGGGGGGGGGGGGTGGTTGTGTGTGGAGGTGGGGGGTTGTGGGGGGGGGTGAGGTGGTGGTGTTAGTTGGGGGGGGGTGGGTTTGGGGGCTTGGGGGGGGAGTGGGGGGGGGGGGGGGGTAATGGTGGGGGGGTGGTTTGAGGGGGTGAGTTGGAGTGGGGGTGACAGATGGGGTGGTTGGTGGGGGGGGGGGGGGGGGGGGGGGGGGGGGGGGGGGGGTGGGAAGTGAGGTGGGGGGGATTAAGGGGGGTGGGGTGGGGGGGTTGGGTGTGTACGGTCGGGGTTGTTGGGGGTGGGGGGGGGGGTTGGGTGGGGGTGTGGGGAAGGGGGAGGGGGGGGGTGGGGGGGGTGGGGGGGGGGGGGGGGGGGGGTGGTGGGTTGGGGGGGGTGGGTGGGGGGGGTGTGGGGGGCTTGGGGGGTGGTTGGGTGTTGTGATGGTTGGGGGTGGGGGTGTAGGGGGAGGTGGGGGGGCGGGTGTGGGGGGTGGGGGGGGGGGGGGGGTGGGGGGGGGTGGGGTGGGGGGGTGGGGGGGTGTTGGGTGTAGTTGTGTTGTGGGGATTGGGGTAAGTGTGGTTGAGCTGGGGGTGGGGGGGGATGGGTTGGGTGGGGTGGGGGTAATTGGGTGGGGAGGGGTGGGGAGTGCGGGGGGGGGGGGGGGGGGGGGGGGGGGGGGGGGGGGGGGGGGGGGGGGGGGGGGGGGGGGGGGGGTGGGGGGGGGGGGGGGGGGGGGGGGGGGGGGGGGGGGGGGGGGGGGGGGTGGGGGGGGGGGGGGGGGGGGGGGGGGGGGGGGGGGGGGGGGGGGGTGGGGGGGGGGGGGGGGGGGGGGGGGGGGGGGGGGGGGGGGGGGGGGGGGGGGGGGGGGGGGGGGGGGGGGGGGGGGGGGGGGGGGGGGGGGGGGGGGGGGGGGGGGGGGGGGGGGGGGGGGGGGGGGGGGGGGGGTGGGGGGGGGGGGGGGGGGGGGGGGGGGGGGGGGGGGGGGGGGGGGGGGGTGGGGGGTGGGGGGGGGGTGGTGGTTGGGGGTGTGGGGGTGGGGGGTTGTATCTCTAGATTTGGTTTTATTCTAATTTTTGTTTATTTTTTTTATTTTTATTTTGTTTTATATTTGGATTTGATTGCATTTTATTTTTTTTTTATATTTGTTTAAGATTTTTTGGTATTTATATTTCTGTTGTATTTTTTTTTATTTTTAAATACTTCCTAATTTGGTGGAGTTGTTATTGTTTTCTATTTTTGATTTTTGTTGTTGTTTTTTTTTTAAAGTGTTGTTTATTTTTTAGAAGGCCAGCGTGGATGGCTGGACACGGTCTGCACAAGGCGAAGAAGTATACCACAGAAGAAGCTAGTCTCGTTTAACGCGATAGTTTTACTCAACTGCGTTACTCATCACCCAACTCTACGACTCCTTTGCAGCTACCCACGGTTACAAAGACTACTGCCGGATCCTAAGCCAACCGGTTAACCAGCAAAGCAATTTGGCCGTCCATCGACTGAGAATAACCGGGAGAGCCAGCCATCTTAGGATGCATCGCCTGCATGCACTATGGTAAAAACTAACCTAAGGCGGTGTATCCGGAGTTGGTGCGTTTTCGCCTGACAAGGATACTACATATAAAACGCTGCAACTCTCCTCAGAACAACACTTCGATGTGAGGGATGTGACTCCATACCGCATAACGTCACGTTTCCCCATTCTACACTGGCGAAATCATCAGGCTTCTACTTGCTACCAATGCCACAGATATTGCTGTGGAGAATGCTTTGATGGAGCACCATACATTCCTAGCTTTTAATGGACAACGGCTGCAACGTACTCTTACTTCAGGCTGCTGTGCTCAAGAATTACCACATGACAAAATCAAGCCGAACTTGAATAAGGACACAACAGTTATGACTGCTTTTTTCGCGCTCCAGCACTGTCACGTTCCCGGGTTTGTCTATTACCTAACAAAAGCTTACTCGCACGTACTACGAACATTTCGGTTGTACCTTACATTGAAGCGATGTCTCCTACTATTCCAAAGCAGCCATGTGTGTTTGCCCATTTGAGCTCTCCCACATCAGTGTGCCTTCTTTTAGTGAGAATATACCATTTGATTATCTTTTTATCTATCTTTTTCTGACTCTTTAGTGATGGATTTTTAGTGCTGTCCAAATTCGCCGTCTTACTTTCGGCAACTGTTTGGTTATATGTGGAGAAGCAGTGTCTCAAAGCGGTTATAAAAGCGACCGGTTGTATGCAAGGCGGTATATGTTGCCGCTGTGCCTCCTGCTGATGCTGATGTTGCATTCTTGATGCTTCTTCATCACAGTTGGGCTAAAGCAACTTACACTTAAACTAGGTCTTTTTAAGCTGGACGAATTTTATTCTACTTTATTTGGTTTGTTCTGCCTACTTGAATAATCTTCTATTAACTGATCACATTGCTTACGCAAAGTGCGTTTATCTTCGGTAACTTTGTTGCGTTTGTAGCATTTTTAAGTAATCTGTGGACATTTCTTACTTATCGCGGATTCGCTACTAACCAACTTACTTCGTATGGTAATTTAGCGAAGAGTTATGCCACCGTATCTGTATGCATTATTGGATTCATTTTATTTTAGCTTGTCGTTTCAAGTGAATGGTTGTTAGTTGATATCCCCGGTCTGGCTGCGCTTGATGTGCATGTAGACAAGGTGCCTACCTGTCTATTACCCACTACCTCGTCCATACTGGCTCCAGGAGACAGTTGGTCGTTGTTGGAGGGGACGGGGTGCACTGTCTTTGTGGCCGCGCTAGACTCGAAGAGTGGTTCCATGCACTCAGTGTGGAGCGGACTGCCGTCCAGCCACCGCCTTGTGTGCGCTTGATTCCCAAATACAGCGTGCTTGTGTTTGCTTAGGAAGGAGTGTGGTCCGGCTCCGTTGATGAAACGTGTCTCCTACCCACATACCTCCCGGTCTTATTCCTTAGGGTTTACACTGGATATGGGGTGTGTGGATGGAGCGGTTGGTGGTGCCGCGCAAGCCATCTATGGTCCCTCTGTAGGCGCAGGCGTCCTGTGGCTGGCCACAGTGACAGGCAAATTGGAAACCGGATGCCGCCAACCATGTGTTGCCGTTGGTTCCAGAAGGATCGGTCTGGTTTGCATCCAATGCAGTATGCCCTTGGGAACATAAAATATTGCTTACCGCACGGTTGAGTTGACAGCTGCGTGGGTAAGACTGAGTCCTGTGTCTCTATAAAGCTGGACGCAAGTAGTGTGGTCGATAGACAGGAACTTTGATCAAGTTGTGAAGTGTCTGGATCGCCCAGGTCTACTTCGGGAGGCAGTGGATTATCCTTGTAGGGAGTGAGTCCCGGAGTTTATTTGCTCACTGTCTACCGTCAGTACCCAAGTAATAATTACACTGTTGGCAACGAACACTCAGGTAGCGTGTTTGTTTACGCTGTTACCATGGCAGACAAGCGGGCTTCAGCCTTTGTCAAAGGAAAGCAGCAGAGCGTTAATAGAGTGGTAAAACCCAAAACAGGGGCTTATGGTCTGCCAGGAGACCTGTACCCATTCCCCTTCATTTCTGTTGTTGCCGTCTTACTGAAACTGCATCCGTCTACTTCGTCAGAGGCCATAAAGAGGGAGGCTAACGAAGAGGCCAACATATACGGAGCTTTCGGTAAATAATCCGCGAAGCTGAGATGCGTACGCTGATTGTGGGTTTATTTTGCGGTTTCTACTGCGTCTTCTGTCCTTCCAAAAGAGCTTATGCTGGATGAGCTACAGTGGTTTAATGTATGCATTGCAAGTTATTGGAATATTAACAGCAGGGGAGTCTTTTACCGCTTCATCGGTTTAGACGCATTTCAAGTGTGTGCGTGCTGTCGGGAGCCGTTAACACTTTGAAGGTAATCACTCTTAAAGTAAGTGTAGCTGGACCCTGCCAGGTGCGTTAGCTAAGAGTCTACCAATCGCTTGCCACTTTCATCTCCTTGAAAAGTTCATGTTGCATGTTGTGTTTCGGCAGACTGTTCCAGTCACTTACCAACCTGGAAGACGGAGCAGCTTGCGGACGGGTGTTACGTCCTCAACTTAAAAACTTTCTACGTGGGACCACCTGTCAAGTTGCTTCCGATCACTAGCAAACACTTTCATCAGTTCGCGTCCAGTGTAGAAAATATCGCCACGCAAGCAAGTGACGAATCTGTTCACACTGGTATAACCATCACTTAACCTTAGCTTTACTGGAGCAACACACTAGGCTGGCTACCAAGATGAAGCTCATCAGAAGACAGTTTTACGAATTGGGTGTATAGATCAACGGCAAGCACCACAGTATCCGTGCATCTTCTATTAAGAAAGAGGTTATTACGTTGGTGATAGAGAGCATCTTTCACCAAACCATGGCGGCAGGTTGTGGGGGCGTAAGCCGCAAGGGCAAACAGGCAGCGTTTGTTTCCGCGCAACCTTGAAGACTGGAACGAGCCAGCCAACGTATCGTCCCACACCTGGCTTTTGACAGGGATCCAATCGATTAGGGCAGGTCCAGCCCCGGGGTACAAAATAATGTCGATGCCAGCCTGAACCTGCTTTAAAGCTGCAGCATTACCAAACAAGAGCAAGTAAAATGAGACGCCAGTGCCGCACGTTGGGGATCGCCGAGTAAGCACAAAGCTCGCAGATTTCAGGTCGATTTACTATAAACAGTAAATATAGATCGATAAGGTCTCGCGTATTTGGGCAAGGGCTGTTGGTTGACCAAGCTGTACCAAAGTGCGCACGTTGATGCGTGCCAGCCTCAGCGAGAATCGAGGACTCCAAATGGAAAAGGCTGAACTGACATTGTCCCCTTGGTTGAACATGGACTTGTATAATGGAATGAAGCGAAGCCTTGAGATGGGGTGTGATTCGCAACTATAAGACAATCGACAATTGAAGGAAAGTGGGGTAGTCCAAGAATTATAAGAGTTAAATCTGGGGGATAAACGTAAACTTGTAACGGGTCACTACGAATGTATATCTCTAGAGAAGAGTAAGAAGACGGGATGTCTTGAGCACAAACCCCCATTCACCGTGCTTGATGCAGCAGATAGGGCGCCGTTTATTATCATTTACAACCGCCAAAGCATCTATAGATTGTTAGAAAAAGTCAAAGTGTATTGCGTGTGCAGGATACTCCATGTTTGCCTGGGCTTAGACAGCAGAAGGAATAGGGTTCGTAGGCAAAGCCTTTGGTTTAAACCCATTTCGCAAGGCAGCGGGGTTTTGGCACTGGACTACAGGGAGCCCGTCTTGTGGAGCAAGCAGCTCCCTCCCTCAAACTTCCAACTTGGAGATCTAGGAGGCCTATTTTGTCTGGCCTCTTGCCATTGACTAATCTGGTATAAGTGGCTCTGACTATGCAAAAGGTACTACACAGCACAGCTCAATGAGTCACTAAGGCGCACAAACCATCGTCCCACTTTATGGTCCAGTCTCCTCGCGACGCATACCGCAGACCGACGATAGCTGTGCCTCCCGATTGCAAAACCTCGTTTGCTCCATTCAACCAATGCGTTTTTTACAAAAAAGCGGAAATTGTTCGCAGGAAACCTATGAACATTTTAATTGCACTTTACTCCAACCCTACAGGCCACGTCAGGGTTTACGGCTACTTGTCGGATAGCTTACCGGCCACAAATGGCTTAAGTCAATTTTGTCCGATTTTACCGTTTTTGTTCAGTTTCGCCGTGGACTCCACCATGAAGTGTGCCCTTGCGCAAGCTCCCGATGTAGGCCTTAAATTCTTACTTGGTAAGGGGTTAGTTTATCTTGCTTATGCGGACGGGCCCGACCTGTTTCTTGACGACTTTGATGTTGCTTAGGCAAACATGTATAGCCTTATCAGGGTGCGCTCATTATGTTGTATGTGCTTTGCACCGTCAAAGTACATGCTGTTGCTGCAGGACCACCAGCTTTTTGGTGACCCCTTGAGACATGCTACTGAGGAACTCGAGATGGCTGATCCAATCGCTTACCTTGGCAGCGGCAGCAACAACGGGAAGCGTAAAAACTTGTCGGTTTGCGCATTGCAATAGCCAGAACTGCCAGCT